TAAAATATGAGTTGGGCAAGTATTTTTTAAGACTAAAATTTAGAACATTTACAAAATTTTAAACTTCAGAATTCGTTTGTATCGATCAATTTTTAATATTTATTGAGGAGGGGCAACAGCGTAATATACATATTAAATGCAAAGGAAAACCTTTTATGTCATCTGCGGCCATAAAATGTCTATTAAATGGTTTCCAAGTCGATTTTTATTAACATTTTTTTGCTGTTTTAAAATAGTTTATAATTCTCTCGATTCTCACTTCGATTAGGAATCCACTCTCCGTAAATATGTTGGTATTTTGGAAAAAAAACAAAAAAAAGATTTTCCTAATTGAAAAATGGTAAAAAAAAAGGTATACCTAAAACCTTAAATGATATAATTTTTTTACCTGCACACTTTTTTCTCTTTTTTCCGAGCAGACATAACTTTAATCTGGGGTTGGCTGCTTCTCGCCAAACAGAAAAGCCAACATGCCCCGCGATATCTTAAAAAATATTTATGTAATGAAGTATTTTCACCCATAAGGAAAAATAAAAAATTTTTTTTCTCAAACAGTGAGTTTCTAATGTAGCTTAGAAAAGAAAAAAAGGTGTGGGTGATTTTCGAACTAGATATTCTTCTTTGATGTTCCGTGTCCCTTCAGACGTAGGCGATCATGGCCATCCACCTCCTGTGTCTTGTAGCTCTTAATAATTCTTTTTTTTTTTTTGTTATTTCTCTCAGATCCTGTTCTGCCATATCTTCTCAGTTCTCCATTAAGGGCAATACGCTTTCTTTCCCCTCCCCTCTTTCTCTTGCGGTTTTATCAGATTTGACTATCAGATTTTCCAAACCCTCTTTCCTCATTACGTATCCCAGAAATGTCAACTGCCAGTTCCTGATTTTTAGTATAAGTTTCCTCTTTGTTTCCACTTTCTCCAAAACGTCGTCTTTGCTAACATGTTCGGTCCATGGAATCCTCAGCATCCTTCTGTAGAACACATTTCTGTATGCTTCGAGTCTCCTTTTCATCTTTGAAAAGATTGTCCTGTATTTGCTGCCATACTGGACGACAGATATTACTTAACAGTTCAGTATTTTTTCCAGCGAAACTTTCCTGTCTCAAAATACTCTGCTTAGCTTTTGGAATGCGTCTTTGGCCATCCCAATACGTCTTCGGATCTCAGTGTCGCACTTTCTGTCCACTGTTAGAACACTTTTCAGATATTTAAATTTTTGTACTTGTTTAATTTTAGTGCACCCGACATGGAAATTGCATTTTTATGTTCATCTTTTTGCAGCTGACTATGCTATTCCGTCTTCTTGTAGTTTATGCTTAGTCCGTTCTTCTGGCTCTCCTTCGCTACCTTCTGAAGGAGGTTTTGTAGTTTTCTTTCCGCGTTTGCTATCAGCACTGTGTCATCTGCATATCTTATGCTGTTAAGATTGTGACCGTCAGTAATAAATCCTGGTAGGGTTCCCAGTTCAATCAGAATTGCCTCATTGTATAAGTTATATAAATCTGGTTAGAAGACACATCCTTGCCTTACACCCCTTTCTATATTTTTTATATCTGCTGAACTCATTTTTTATCCGGGTTTGCAGCCAGTAGAGATTTTTAATTATTTTAATATCTTTCCCGATTATATCAAGATTACTGAGCAGCACTAACAGATGTTTGTGGCGTACTTTGGTGAACGGCTTTGAGTAGTTTGTTAAAAAGAGGTACAGGTCCTTCTGCATTTGTATGGCTCTTTCTAACAATATTCTGAACTTAAATATCGTGTTCCTTGTTCCGCTGTCTTCAACGAACCCAAACTGATCTTGTCCTATCTCTGGTCTGATTCTGCTGCGCGCTCTGGTCGATAAGTTATATTATATATATATATATATATATATATATATATATATATATATATATGTCTCATTAGGCTGAAGAGATCATATTCGTTTGTTTCTGGCTTCATAGTCAGTGGCATGGAAATAGATGTGCTTAGTTCTTCTGATATATCACCTTGATTGTAGATTTCATTTATTATTTCTGTAAACTTGTCTATGTAGATATTATCTAAGGCTGCCACCATCTCTATTACAATTCCGTCTGGCCTTGCTGCTTTGTTTCTGTTCAATTTGGCTAGTGCAGCTTCCACTTCGGTTTTTTAGTATTTCCGGCCTGTTGCTATTTCTGTATATTGTCGGTTGTTCACTTTCGTTGTGGACGTGTTTCCCAATATATTCTTTTCAGCGCTGAAAAAGTTTTTCTTTCTTTAAAATGAGCGACCAAACCTTGGAGTTTTTTCAGCCTGTTGCCAAGCATATCTTTTGTCCTGTTATTACCTATTTTTTATGCCTATATCCTTTACCTGTGGTACTCATTCTCTCTTTTTCTGTACATTTTTCTTTGAGCCATTCTTCTTTAACCTGCCTGCATTTGTTCCTTATTTCGTTGTGTTGATTTTTGTATTCCGTTCCATGTCTTGGCATTGTTTTCTGTCTCTTTTGCATCGTGTCGAGAATCATC